GTCATGGATACTCCACTTCAAGTCCAGCTCCCTGCTAATGCACCTGGAAAGGGAGAAGAAGATGGCCCAAGTCCTTGGGCCCCTGCCACCCACAAGGGAGGACTGGATGGAGTTCCGGGCTCTTGGTGTCATCCTGGCCCAGCTCCAGCTGTTGCAGCCATTTGAGGAGTGAGTCAGCAGATGGCAGATCTCTCCCTGTACTCTCTCTCTGCAACTCTGCCCTCCAATAAATAAATAAATAAATCTTAAAAAAAAAAAAGAAGCAGCAAAAATAAAAAAAAAGAAAATCCAATTTTTAAAACTCTTAATGTTCATTTTAATCTCCCTCTTTATATAACAGCCAGAATGATTTTGTTTAAAAGTCAAATGATGTCATTTTCTACACTCAGAAAGAACTCTTCAGTGGCTTCCCATTTCAGGTGAGAGCCAGTCTCCATACATTGGCATCCTGACTCTTGCTAAAACATTGAAGACGTGTGTCCACTTCAGAGCCTTTATATTTGATGTTGCTTCTGCTTCCTTCCTCCCAAACCACCATACTCACATACTTTTCCCCTCATGATGCTGAACTTAAGAAGCCAAGTGGGGGCCATCGCCACGGCTCACTAGGCTAATCCTCCGCCTAGCGGTACCGGCACACCGGGTTCTAGTCCCGGTCGGGACGCCGGATTCTGTCCCGGTTGCCCCTCTTCCAGGCCAGCTCTCTGCTGTGGCCAGGGAGTGCAGTGGAGGATGGCCCAGGTGCTTGGGCCCTGCACCCCATGGGAGACCAGGATAAATACCTGGCTCCTGCCATCAGATCAGCGTGGTGCGCCAGCCGCGGCGGCCATTGGAGGGTGAACCAACGGCAAAGGAAGACCTTTCTCTCTGTCTCTCTCTCTCACTGTCCACTCTGTCAAAAAAAAAAAAAAAAAAGAAGAAGAAGAAGAAGCCAAGTGGGGCTGGCGCTGTGTTGCAGCAGGTTAACACCCTGGCCTGAAGCATTTGGGTGCTGGTTCAAGCCACGGCTGCTCCACTTCCGATCCAGCTCTCTGCTATTGCCTGGGAAAGCAGTGGAGGATGGCCCAAGTCCTTGGGCCCCTGCACCCACATTGGAGACCTAGAGGAAGCTCCTGGCTTCTGGCGTCAGAGCAGTGCAGCTCCGACCGTTGCAGCCAACTGGGGAGTGAACCAGCAGATGGAAGACCTCTCTGTCTCTCTCTCTCTGTAACTCTGCCTCTCAAATAAATAAACAGAATCTTTTTAAAAAAAGAAAAAAAGAAGCCAAGCTGGGGTCTTATAGAATATGTTTTGTGAGTTTCTCTTTTTCCTCATTATATGTTTCCTGGTATAGGACATTAAATCTAAAAGATTGATTAGATTAAGGTTAAGTCTTTTGGGTGAAAAAAAACAGAGACTGATCTTCAAGCTTGACTATTGTGTTAAGATGATCTTTTTCAGTCCCCTCCCCCATTGTAAGTTTACATTTTCCACTTTGAGATCAACAAATAAACTAAATGTGTGTGTGTTATTTTTTAACACCGTGACTTTAAGAATATTTTCCGACTGTGGAACTGGTTTTTCCAATGGAACCTTTTTTGGAGATCCAGTATCTAAAAAGATAAAAGCAGAGTTGTTCTGGTTGCAGTGGGAAATGCCTAGTTATTAGCAGTTTCCAAGGGAACTTTGGCAAGCACAGTTTGTAACCCAGAGAGCCCGCCCAAATATTTGAGGAAGTGGAGGCCCAGAGAGGATACGTAAAGTCTTAAAGCCACCTAACATATTAAGAGGACGGCTCAGTGAACCTCCTCAGATTAGAGAACAGTCCGGGGAGCTGTGTCACTTCCTTGAGAATCTGTGATTGTGGATGACCGTTGTAATAGCACTTGGATTTTCCTGGCCGTCCACCCACTGTTTTTAGTGTCTTCAGTGCTTTCTTTGACACTCTATCTGTTCTGCAGATGTGAAAATTTAAAATTACTTTATTTTTAGTGTGTGTTGGATTGCAGTCTTTTTTTTTTATTATTATTTCCCTTTTGGAAATTCCTCTTCATCCACAAAGAATTCCAAATTCAGACATTATTCATCTATGTCTGGAACACTAAAATCTCTTGAGCTTCCATATGTCTTACCTCTTCCCACCATTAGAATACTCAAAATGCTGCCACAAAGTTGACGTCAGTTATCATTTGCTTGCTGTCAGCTTCCTTTCTGCACCTTACTTACCATGTGACCTAGTGGGTCGTACTAGAGAATTGAATAAGGAAATTTAATATATCCATAGGCTTTATGTAACTTGCATGATAGAGATTTTTATTTTCACAGAAAATTTCTGTAAATGTAAAAAGCAGGTAATAAATTCTAATTTAATCTCACTTTTGTTTTTTAAAAAAACATAAAATACCCATGTTAGTCTAGGTGGATATGTAGTTTTACAGCCAAAAAGAATATTTACTTTTTTTTTTACAGCTGAGTAAGAAATTCTGTCTTTTACTACAAAATGGATGCAACTGGAAACCATTATACTTAGTGAAATAAGCCAGTCCCAGAAAGACAGATATCATATGTTTTCCCTGATCTGGGGTAACTAATAGTGTACCTAAAATGTAATGTATTAGAGTGAAGTGGACATTTTGAGATTTGATGATTATTTACAGCCCTTGTCTCTTCTGTTGAGGAACAGTATTTTTTTCTTAATACTATTTGTTGAACTCTGTACATAGTGTAGGGTTAACCTTACAATCATTAAGTAAACTGAAAATAGATCTTTGTAAAAATTAAAAGAATAGAAGAGGGAGGAGGAAGAAGGGTTGGAGCCTGGGCCAGAGGGAGGATAGGGTGAGAATTATCAATGTGTTGCTAAATCTGTATATATGATATATATGAAACTTGTATAACTTAAATAAAATTTTAAAAAGAATATTTACAAAAATAGTCACATTGATACTATTTTGTGATCTTCATTTCTCTCACTCTTTTCTTTGTGTCTTATTCCAATAGTTATTTTATAAAGATTAAAACTGTTTTGTTTAGTTTTAGTTTTTTTTGTTTTGTTTTGTTTTGTTTTGTTTTTAACAAACTGTGTTGAAGGCACTTCCAGGCATCTCCCAGCTTGCTACCATCCAAACCATTCCGTGGAAGTCTTTTTATCTTCTCATTCAAGCATGCTCTCCCCAGACCTCATATTTCTATTTATTTTACTCTAGATATCTGATAATCCTCTAGAATTGCCCTGTTGGTTCTCACAACCCTATCTGGTCACTTAAAAGAACCTTTTCGGGAAGTAGACGTGTAGCAAATCCTTACTTTCTTTTAATGTAATTTTTTTCGGAAAGGCAGAGTGGACAGTGAGAGAGACAGAGAGAAAGGTCTTCCTTTTCCGTTGATTCACCCCCTCAATGGCCGCTGTGGCTGGCACACTGCAGCCGGCGCACCACGCTGATCCAAAGCCAGGAGCTTTTCCTGGTCTCCCATGCAGGTGCAGGGCCCAAGCACTTGGGCCATCTTCCACTGCATTCCCGGGCCACAGCAGAGAGCTGGACTGAAGAGGAGCAACCGGGACAGAACCCGGCGCCCCAACCAGGACTAGAACCCGGTGTGCCAGCGCCGCAGGGGGCGGATTAGCCTAGTGAGCCCTGGCGCCGGCTAAATAATACATTCTAAAAGACTGTCACCATAGTGTGATCTCCCTCTAGGCCCAAGAGAAACTAAGTAAATAGCTCTTAAGTTAATTGTCTGTTTTCTTGATCTCATTTCTTTTATCCCATAAATTCCTACCAATGAGAGCCCTTGTTTGTTTTCTGTAATATTAAACATTATGGGTACTTAATATAATTTACTAAACAAAATATCTTTTTAAAAATCCCTAATCTACAAAATAAACTTAAGATCTGCTTTCAGCTTTTATGAGAATGTTGTGCTTACATGGAGATGGAGAAAGGCACAGGACTTAGAAACATGGACTTACGTTCAGAGCCTGCTCGGAGTCACTTAGGCCCCTGAGCTGCGTTCATTCAGTGGCACCACTGACTCTCTTCTGCTCTCTGCAGATACCTTCTGCCTGGTCCATGTATCTATCTTGCTTCCCCAAGTCCTCTGCAGTGCTGTGCTGAGTGATGTGTCTACCATCTAAATATGACCGTGCCTCATATGTCCTCCCATTTTGGAACTTCTCAAGGGCCCTATGATGCTATGTTACTTCTTTCCCAATCCTTCAGCTTTGGCTTCTGGGAACCTGTCCTCTCATGAGCTTTTTGAAGATTCCCCCTCAAATGCATAGATTTCAAATATTTCGGGACAATTTTCCATAAACTCTTTGGAGTACCCTCATATACATGTTCGTCTAAATTATCTACATGATTTTTGCCTTTTGAATGTGATCTGAGTTTTATTTGATCACCTCTGAAATAAGAAAAATACTTAAAAAGGAAAATATATGAGTTGAGTTAAAATACTTCCAACAGATAACTGTTTTAGAATTTATAATAAAGTTTTTTTCCTGATTGTGCAGTGGGGAAGTAGACATTCTCCTAGCAGTTAAGACATCAGGTAGAACACCTACATTCCCACATCAGAAAACCTACGCCAGCTCCAGCTCTTGATTCCAGCTTCCTGCAAATGGTGGATTCTGGGGGGTGGGGGGATGGGAGGCAGCAACAATAGCTCAAGTAGTTGGGTTCTTGCTGCCTAAGTGGGAGACCTGGATTGAGTTCCTAGTATCAGCTCCCCCTAGTCATGGCAGACATCTGGGGAGTGAACTAGTGGATAGAAGCACTCTCTCTGCCTCTCAAATAAATAAATATTTTTGCCATTTTATTTTTTTTAAGTTTGACCCCAAATTTCCCTTTTAGAGTCATTTCTCATGGAAATTAGTGACTTTACAAATTATATGCATGAAAAATTAATAGCCAATTCATTATGCTTCCACATCAGTAATTAAAAAAAATAGTTCTCTGGTGAAATACAGCTTTTACCTATTTTAATCAAGAAAATACCAGTTTTTCTGTTCTTGTATTTTTTAGACCCCAGAGACATTTATCATCCTGTTTTTCCAGAAGAAAAGGCAAAATCGGAATAAAAGAAGTGACTTGACCAAGTTACCGAATTATACAGTAGCAGAAGCTGGGATCAGGATCCCAGCTGGTACCACATTTCCCTTCCATCTGCTGGAATAACAATAAAAGTAAGTCTTCAAGTGCTTGCCAGTTCCCTTATGTTCAAATTAAGCCTGCTTTTGAAATGTTTTCATTTTCCTCTTACTCTTATTGAGAAATTAGTCCTAAACCCAAAGCGTTAATTGTTCTTTCACACTCATGTATGGAGTTTCTTTAAGCATTAGAAAATCTTCACTTAAGAGATTTCATACTTTATTTTCTCAACTATTTTTTGTAGTGAACACAATAGAAAAAAAATATTCCAGGAATCCTTTTCTAATCCCACAGGTTCTGTATTTGTATTCCTCTGACCTGTTCTTTTGGTAGCAGCTTCCATACTGAGTCATCCACCAAAGACTGCCTGTGTTTTCCAGGCAAAGTAATAATTTTATTATTTTTAAATGACTCATTACTTTTTAATAGTCAGACCTTGTGTACACTGTTAAATAAAAAGTTTTCAAGACATTGTCATACAGTTCCACTCTTATTCTCCAAATAACCCCTCTAAGCAGCATGGATATTGAGTTAATTCTCTATTGTGTCTATGATTTGTGTTGATCATTTCTTCTTGAACCCCTTTATCAGCTGAAATAAGCAATGAAATTTCTTCCTACTCTCTGCTCCAGGTGTTTCCTGAAATGGAACAAATAGCGACATAAAAGTAGTGTAATAGCATTCTCTATTTTCCATTATTACGGTTATATTGTTTAAGGTTTTATTAACTTCCAAATTTCTCCATAAATCAGAGGCACCTCTAAAGCCGAAGTATAGCTCTAATGTTTGTTGGTACACAAGACTTGGAATTCAGCATGTTGATAGAATGACGTTCTCCTGTCACCCTTCTGTGACATATTTGGCTGGTTCTCCACCTGGCCTTTGCAAATCTCTTTTTTGCTCCCTCTCCTTGCCCTACATGTGCCAGCCTTCTCCAGAGTTTTGTCCTTGACCCTTTTCTCACCCTCTCAGTGTCATCCACTTTTGTGGAATTAAAATCTGTTTGGTGCTTGCTCACAAATCTTCATCTTTAGCTCCCATCTCTGCTACCGAGTACGTCCAGCTGTGTGAGGGGACATCTCTCGAATGCCCCACTGAAATAATCCACAGGTGAAGCTGAATGGACCTCCCCCTGCATCTTCCCTCCAGCTAGCCTTCCTACACAATTAATAATTAGGTCCCAGGATCATCTCTACATCCCTCTAGAATACATTTTTAGTTTCAAAGATTTATCATCAAATATTAACACTTTCCACTCTCAGCTAGACCTGTTCCTCAGAGACAACCACTCTCAATTTTTCCTAGCAATTTCTGCTATTATTCATCTCCCTATTTCTAAGCACATGTATATAGCTAATTTATCACTCACTGATTTTAAACACTAGGTCCTGGATTCCTAGTATAAATTTCAGCTGTAGGCCAGCGCCACAGCTCAATAGGCTATTGCTCCGCCTGCGGCACTGGCACCCCGGGTTCTAGTCCCAGTCAGGGCACCGGATTTTGTCCCAGTTGCTCTTCTTCCAGTCCAGCTCTCTGCTGTGGCCCGGGAGTGCAGTGGAAGATGGCCCAGGTCTTTGGGCCCTACATCTGCATGGGAGACCAGGGTGAGGCACCTGGCTCCTGGCTTCTGATCGGTGCAGTGCGCCAGCTGCAACATGCCAGCCGTAGCGGCCACTTGGAGGGTGAACCAATGGAAAAAGGAGGATCTTTCTCTCTCTCTCTCTCTCTCTCACTGTCTAACTCTGCCTGTCAAAAAAAAAAAAAATTCAACTGTTACCCACTTTCTACCACATTAACAAAATAATGGGTAAAATTTTATGTAATCACCTCAATAGATGTAGGAAAAGTATTTGACAAAAATGTGAGATTTTTGAAAACTCTGAACAAACTAGAAATAGAAGGGAACTTTCTTAACCTGATGGTGGGCATCTGCCAGAACAACTGTAATTCTTGTCATACTTAATGATGCAAGACTGCATACCTGGTGTAAGACTGCATGCCTGCCGGCGCCGCAGCTCAATAGGCTAATCCTCCACCTTGCGGCGCCGGCACACTGGGTTCTAGTCCCAGTCGGGGCACCGGATTCTGTCCTAGTTGCCCCTCTTCCAGGCCAGCTCTCTGCTGTGGCCCGCAAGTGCAGTGGAGGATGGCCCAAATGCTTGGGCCCTGCACCCCATGGGAGACCAGGAGAAACACCTGGCTCCTGCCTTCGGATCAGTGCAGTGCGCTGGCCGTGGCGGCCATTGGAGGGTGAACCAACAGCAAAAGGAAGACCTTTCTCTCTGTCTCTCTCTCTCACTGTCCACTCTGCCTGTCAAAAAAAAAAAAAAAAAAAAGACTGCATGCCCATGCCCATTCCTTAGTTCCCCAAGATCACTACCAGGCAAGGCTTCCGAGCTCACCACCGTATTCGGTTTTCTATTCTAGAGATTCTAGTTTTGCAATGCAAAAACAGTAAGGCTGTCAAGTTTGAAAAGGAAAACTGCCTGTGCTCTCAGATGACATGATTCTCTATATAGAAAATCCAAAGGAATGAAATAATTATAGTAAATTAATTGTGAAAGTAGTAAGTGACAAAGCCAGTCACATGTATTTCTAGATTTCAACAGTAAACAATGTTTAAAATTAAAATTATAGTACCACTTGCATTAGCATCAAAAAACATGAAATATTTAGGAGTATATTTAATGAAAATCATATACATTGCTGAGAAATCAAAGAGAATTAAATAAATGGAAAGATATGCCATGCTCATGAGTTAAACACTTGATACTATTAAGTTCTCCATTGTCACCAATTAAGACAGGAGGGTTGTGCCATAAATATAGACCAAAGAACAGAGAATCCAGAGTTGATAAGATTACTTCAGCAAAGGCTCCAGCTTAATGTAGTGGGGACAGAATAGTCTTAAATAACTGATATTGAATGATCTTCAAACTTAACTTTATATGTACATAAAGTAATTCAAAATAGATCACAGACTATACCATAAAAGCTGAAATGATAAAATTACCAAAAACAGCAAAAAAAAAAAAAAAAACTTCAGGAGAAAAATTTGTATGACCTTAGGATAGGTGATTACCTTAGGATATAGATATATTAACTATAGAATAAAAATTTATTAATTGGATTGATAATCTATTTTTATTAAAAGATTTATTTGAAAAGAGTTACAGAGGGAGAGACACAGAGACATCTTCCCTTTTTTTATGATTTTATTTTTATTTATTTGAAAGAGTTACAGAGAGAGGTAGAGCCAGAGAGAGAGAGAGAGGGAGAGAAAGAGGTCTTCCATCCGCTGGTTCACTCCCCAGTTGGCTGCAATGGCCAGAGCTGAGCTGATCCAAAGCCAGGAGCCAGGAGCTTCTTCCAGGTCTCCCACGTGGGTGCAGGGGCCCAAGGACTTGGGTCATATTCTGCTGCTTTCCCAGGCCATAGCAGAGAGCTGGATCAGAAGTGGAGTAGCCGGGACTCGAACTGGCGCCCACATGGGATGCCAGCACTGCAGGGCACAACATTAACCTTCTGTGCCAGAGCATCAGCCGAGATATCGTCTATCCTCTAGCTCCCTTCCCAGATGGCAACAATGACCAGGCCTGGGCCAGGCTGAAGCCAGAAGCCAGGAGCTTCTTCCAGGCCTCTCCCTGGAGCGTAGCAGGGACCCAAGCGCTGGGCCATCTTCCGATGCTTTTCGCAGGTCATTAGCAGGGAGCTCTATCAGAAGTGGAACATCCAGGACAACAACTGATGCCCATATGGGATGCCAGCATCGCAAGCAGTGGCTTTGCCCTCTGTACTGCAGCACCAGTCCCTGTGGATTAATAATCTTAACTTGTGGATTTAAAACCCCCTAATCTTCAAAAGCTACCATGAAGAAAATGGAAGGAAAAGCCCCAGACCCATAAAAAAAAATCTGAGCAAGGATATGTAACTCTTGGAACTCAATTTAAAAAGTCAACCTAGAATATTTGAAGACACTTTACAAAAAGAAAATTTTCATATGCATTTCTTATATGCATATGAAACAATGCTCAATATTACTAATCATCAGGAAAATGCAAATTAAAACCAGAGTGTGGGGGGCCAGCTCCATGGCTCACTTGGTTAATCCTCCACCTTGCAGCACCGGTATCCCATATGGGCGACGGGTTCTAGTCCTCTTCCAGTCCAGTTCTCTGCTGTAGCCCGGGAGGGCAGTGGAGTATGGCCCAAGTGCTTGGGCCCTGCACCCCATGGGAGACCAGGAGGAAGCACCTGGTTCCTGGCTTTGGATCGGTGCAGCGCCGGCCGTGGCAGCCATTAGGGGAGTGAACCAATGGAAGGAAGACTTTTCTCTCTGTCTCTCTCTCTCACTGTCTATAGCTCTACCTGTCAAATAATAATAATAATAATAATAATAAACCAGTGTGGAATACCACTTCAGATTCACTGAGGTGACTAAAATTGAACTGACAAGTATTCAAAAATACGTAGAGCCACTACAACACTCAGATGTTGCTGATGAGAGTGTAAAATGGTAGAACCACTTTGGAAAACAGTTTTGCAGGTTCTGTTATAAAGTTAAATGCACACTTATGACTCCATTGCTAATGACCCATTAGAAATGAACACATACCCACAAAAAGACATACTTTGAATGTTTATAGCAGCTTTAATTTATAGTATTCCAAACTAGAAACAACTCAAATGTTCATCAACTGATGAGTAGATAAAATAAATTATAATGTATTCATACAGTGAGATACCTATTCAGCATGTATAACTGATACATGCAGTAATGTGGTTGATTCTCAAAATCATATACTAAATGAGAGAAGCCAGACAGAAAAGCATATGTATTGTATGATTTCATTTACATGAAGATCTTGACTGGCAACCTAATCTATAATCAAGAAACCAGATCTGTGTTGGCTGGATTTTATGGGGGAGGAATTGATTGCAAAAGAGTGAAAGGATAGTTACAGTGCCGGCATCCTATAAGGGCACCGTTTCATGTCCTGGCTGCTCCTCTTTTGATCCAGCTCTTGGCTTATGG